GTAAACACAGAAGAACTGGTCCAGGACTGGTCCAGGTGCACCTCCTTCTGGAAGAGACAAAAAACCATGATAGAAATAATTACAGTAAACATGTAGAGAAGAGAGTCTAAAGACGAAAGCAGAGTGAAGAAATGTGCTCAGTTTGTGCTCCAGCAAGCCTATAGCAGCAGAAATGAAGAATAAGTCAGGAAACTTACGTCTAACTATAGGATTTATCAAAAAGTAAAGTCTTCAGTCTAATCTTAAAAGTAGACAGATTAATTGTGACCAAAAATRTATAAAAAAATAGTGTGACTGCAACATTTCATTGATTGGACAAATAAACAAAGGTCTCACTAGTAACACCGCCTGCAACCACAAACAGGATGGAGGGGTATAGAGAAACAATATCTCTATTTATATAACATCATTGTTTACTTAAAAGCAGAATAAACTKTGCGTGTTTGAACACTTGTGCTCATATCATGTTTTGTCTCTACAGGAGTTGGAGATTAAGAAAATGGCAAAGTCCGGTAACCGGGAGGCTTGTAAAATTCTTGCCAAGCAGTTGGTGCAGCTGAGGAAGCAGAARAACCGTACGTACGCCGTCAGCTCCAAGGTCACCTCCATGTCTACGCAGACAAAGGTCATGAACTCTCAAATGAAGATGGCCGGTGCCATGTCTACTACCGCCAAGGTAAAGCCTTTAACCCTGTCTGTCATCTGCTGTTTTACCAGCATGTTATCACAGTTTTACTCAGGCTAATATTAAAATGTTGTGGATAATCTGTCAATATAGAAGACCTATGTTTATTAGCAGGCTCCGGCATCAATGGTAATGAAGCGTGAGGAGGAGAAATTAGCCAGGAGCGATGTTTTGGACAGCCAAACATGGACAGGGCAAATATAATTAGGCTTCAGGTTAATGAGGATGATTCACAATAAACAACTAATTATGTCTTCAAACACAGAAATATATGAATACAGCTCTTTTGAAAAGAAAATCACAGCTTATATGGCATTTATTCAGTATATAATACGGTATTAAACTAAGAAATTGGAGAGATTTATCAGTACAAATGAGATCTTAGGTGTGGTGTTGATGCTTATCTTGCTTAGAAATGAATGAAATTGTGAATGAGTCTCTGCTTGTTTTTATAAAGCTATAGATTCTGGGCTGAAACATCTAAAGCTTTTTGTCACAATCTGATGGTTTTCTATGAGGCTGAGGTTGTAGGTTATCTAAAGAATTTACTTGTCAGAAATGTAGAAGGATTAAATTGACCTTTTTTTTTTATCACCGTGTGCAGACCATGCAAGCTGTGAATAAGAAAATGGATCCACAGAAGACACTGAAGACCATGCAGGACTTCCAGAAGGAGAACATGAAAATGGGCATGACTGAGGAGATGAGTAAGTTCAATTAATGCACACGCAGCTTGCAGGCTTACCAAAACCAGAATGAGAGGATGTATGTGTTATTTATATTTGAAAGAACAAAAACAAAAGGGGGTAAATCAAATCCCTTTTCAGAAATAAAACTAAAAATGTAACAAATAATCAGATGGTTCCTCTACTGTTTTCACATTTCCCCTCCTCGTGTCATTTTCTATCCAGTCAACGACACTTTAGATGAGATATTCGATGAGTCTGGGGATGAAGAGGAATCTCAGGATATTGTCAACCAGGTCCTGGATGAGATCGGCATTGAGATCACAGGGAAGGTAAGATAATGAAACTGACCTTATCTGTACGCCAAACCACAAATTCCAACTACTGCAGTACATTTAATTCTGTATACTATGTCTGAGTTTGCTGCCAGTTTCATATGTGGATCTAGTCTTAAGTGAGTGAGCAGCCCCTGGTGATGAGAACAATGAGTGTTCCACATGGCTTTTACTCAGCTAGTAAGATACATCCCAGCTGCCACACGGTGGGGCTCGCCTTCAGCTCTTCTAGCTTTGCAGACTAGTAAGTGCTTGGCTGCCCATCTGCTGTGTGTCTGGCTCCCCCTGGGGGCCGTCATAAATGATTACCCCCCCCCTCGCAACACTACAAATCCACACATTGTMCAATAAACATGACCACAGCTGAAGCAAGCAAACAATCAGGCAGTTTAATAAATAATAGTGAACTAATACATTCTAATAGCTTACAAAACCTAGCACATAATAGGTCAAATAAACATCCAGATGTTTAGGTAGTTATGCTTAAATATTTTTAGGTCTAATGATCTAAAGTGAATAAAATAAATGTTTTTTTTTAAAACATAATATGATCTTATGGTGAAATGGGACAGATTTGTATCCATTTTGGTCAAACTTCAATGTTTGACACAATCTAACGTTGAGATGTCACAAGATGTTAGCGCTCAGAGTGTAAGACGGAAATGACCCTCAGTTCCTCCCCGACCAAATTTAGTTCACTTGTGAATTAGTTAAAAGCATTATTTTAAGTTGGCTTATATGCCTTATCTGTAGCTTTCTTGAATYGACTCCAAAAGTGAATCATATGGAGTGTTAACACATCTCACAATGTGCGCGCGCACGCACAGCAAGATTTGAACGAGCACATCAACATTCGCATGTCAAGATTTGTACGTGAACAACTCCACAGATCTGCTCACTTGTGAGTCTTTCACACACGTAATGCTGCATTCAAAGCTGGGACATCTGAGCTTCACCACATATCCTGGGTTATTAGAAAAAATACATTTCTGACTYATAGCTCATAAAYGCTACTGCAGGTCTATTCAACTGGTGGCCCRTGGGCCACATCTGGCYCGTGAGTGACCAAAGTTTGGCCCGCCAATTGCTTAATTCATGTCTTAAGCGAAAAGTCYCGGTTTTCTCTGTTAATATTACAAGTTCTTTTARTTAAACACAGACATGTGWGGTATCTACAGAAATGTCAGAATCTTGGCTAGAAGCTGATAAAAACTCTAATAAAAATTTCTATGAACATCCAACACAGTTAAAACTACAAGCAGTTAAAGCTAAAACTTTGAAAGTGAAAATAAAAGTGGTTTAAAAATTTGGCAAGTAAGAGATTTCAAAATAATATTTGTGTTAAATAAGAGACATAATGTGTTATTTTTGGTTTTGATAGCGTTTTAATAACACAACTTTTATTACATTGGGTTCTGTATTGTGTACTCATGATTAAACGCAGCAAAATAAACAATTTCAAAGGTAACAGATCTCTGTAATACWTAGTTTATTTATATAATAACTAACTGCTGGATGTTCGGCCCCTCAGCTGTTGGCCTGCTGTAACTGTGCCCCCCCCCCCCGAGCATTTTAGTTGAATAGCCCTGCCCTACAGTATATTAAACAACAAACGCATACATCAAATTTTACTGTGCTCGCTCCCTTTTATGTAACAGGATTCTCTCCATAGAAATCAGTTATAGCTCCAGTGATGATGTTCTGMTTAGCCAACACACTTTATGGAAAATTAAGAAAAATAAAGTACTTTTCCAGTATTAGGATTTTACTTGTTTTTAATTAAAAAAGTAATATTTTATGTGACAACATTTTGATATGCAGTGCATTTGATTCACACAGGAGCGTTCTGTTTTCTCAGTTGCTCAACTACATTTAATATCTGCAGTCTTTTCACATATCCATAAATAAACGATTTAGTAAATTTCCTTGCTGTTTATAATTTGAAAAAGAGAACATGTGGCGCTGCCGGTGTGAAGCTGGTCTTATGAGTCACAAATCATTTTTAGACACWAACACATCTTTTTTAAATTTGTTGCTAGATTGGCAGAAGGGAGCTTTGCTTGACACCCGGTGCTGCAACAAGGCGGTGTGTGTGTTTATTTTGAAGTTGCGGTGCCTGCTAATGGGATTTTTCTGCCAATGTGTGATTCCAGATGGTTCGAGCTCCAGCTGCAGGAAAGAAYGTCCCCGGTGCCGCCGCCGCCTCCAAACAGGCCACCATCTCCGACGACGAGATCGAGAGACAACTTCGAGCTCTGGGAGTAGACTAAATGTCTTCTTAGTCGTAACGTTCACTTTATAAACCAGTGCAACTTAATACTGATTGATACGGACTCTGTCAGACACGCTGGTTCTGTCGTTCTTCAAACGCTGCAGGGGTGAAACTTGTACACAAACACATTAAAAGCATGCAGGCAGACAAATTGATCAATCTCCCATTTTCTGCTGGATGCCTTAAAAATTCATTTGGACTAAACATCCGATTTATTTATGAAAGGAATATTTATTAAGACAACAGAGTGGCCACGGTTTTACATCTTTGTTGCCACTTTATCTTTTTGAAAGGGCTGCAAGTAAGTTTGGAATCTGCTTTTTATTTTCTCTTTCGCGTGGTCTATCTTGTTATTTTTGCAATTTAAGATGGATGATCTCTCTTTTTAGCAAGTTTAAATGAAAAACATGGTAATTAAAAAGAGCTTTGGGGTTGTCAATAAACAGATGGGACTCGGCTTTTTGTACTTGGACCATTTACCTGCTGTTTTTGGCATACCCTGCGATTAAAATCCATCTGATTCTCTGAGGCAAACTCTTCATTAACTCCATCTTTGAACGACTTGAATTGTCTTTTTTTTTTTGGATAAAATGATCAGTTTGTTGTTTAGTTAAATTAAACATGTGGTTGTTGTTGTAAACAACACCGCATAGCTGATGGTTTTAATCATACAAATGAAACTACTGGAGATGTAAATGTTAATTTACCAGGTTTTTCAGAACTTAAGGCCATAGAAACTGGAGATGTATGTTTGCAAAACATTCAATTTGTCCGACAGATTGGTCTGAAAGCAAACAGGCAGCAGCGTGCATCTGTGTGCAGAATGCATGACGAAGATTTAAACCCAAATTAGAGCTTATGGAGGACTAACAGAGTTTTGAATCAATTTTTTGATGCAACTAATTAATCAAAAGATTTGTTTTTTTTTTGTGCTTCTAGGTTAATGTTTGATTTAAACAGTGATTGCAGGATGACACTTCCTGCAGTCTCTCTTCTCTTTCAGCTGCTGTGCAGTTACTTTCTGGTTAGTTTAAACTGCATCACAAAACACAAAACACACACACACTACAGCAACAAAATAATGGGAGTGTATGCTAAAATGACACTGTGATATAAAAGTTCTGTTCTCATGAGCTGAAGCTGATTTTTCTATCCGGGTGAGTTTGTTAATGTCAGCAGCTTCAGGCTTTGTGAGAGAGACAGCAACATCTTATTGTAATATTTTTATTTGACTTTGGCCTTCTTTTCCATTATATCTTCATGCCAAAACAAACTGACAATGTGTCGTTYTTGCATGTGTATGAGACGTACGACTCACGAACGTCCTCAAACCTCCTCAACCATGTATCCGTCTGATTTTAATTATTAGCAGAATGAAGGTTTTCATAACTGAGTGCAGTTCTCTGGGTAGGATTTCATGTTTTAAAAGGTGTGTATACTCATTGTTGTTTACCTTTCTTTGTAAATTGTCTCTGCAAAAAGGTTTATGGCTWTTATAAGGAATAAAGTTTCTTCAGGTACAATTTTGTAAGCTTTTGATTTATTTTTCCCTCAACTTTAAGGCTTCTACCTAAAGATTTTGGAGCTTTTGTTTTTAATTAATACAAGTTATTTACATTTTATTGTGTTGCAAAAAACAAAGCAAATGTTACTTATTTTAGCTATAATTTTGTGTCCACTTTCATATTAATGGCAGACATTTAAGTAGTGCTATTATCATTTGAGTCTGTTAAAAATAAGTAAATCTGCTGAGTGTAATTTATAGGTGACTAAGAGGGTACAGGAATACAAAATATTTAAAATATTGAAAAGGATGATAAAATCCTTTTAGTTTAGCTAAAACAACTATAGTAAACAGATTGTATTTAAATCTGCAACACATTAAAATTTACTGTATTGCTCCAGGTTTATGTATTCTTTGCATTTTGTTAAAAAATATGTTTACGTGTAGGCTTCCTGCTTTAACGTTCACATTGTATTTAAGTAGATTTTCCCCTTCATTTCTCCTGACAGCACTTAAGTTAAWCAACCAGACATAAGTCCCTGTTGAAACAACTTGTTCCTGAATGAAAGTGTCTGCTAGTTTATTTAAAAATGCCCACCCCCTCTGTCCTAATGTATATATTGATTTACTGAAATAGTTGTAAAAATGAAAGTTGGCACCAGTGTGGAAGTTCATAAAACTCAATTWACTGTTTGAACTGATGTAACTTCTTCTGCCCGAAACCAGTCAGACTTTATTATAACAGATGAGCTGAAGTGCATTTTAAACCACATAAATACAACTTTGGCATGAATAAAGAGTCTTCATCTCATTCTGTCTGACATTTTATAACATTTTTATTAAGTTGATTCATTTCAGTCTCTTCCAGTTGTTGGCACTTGTTCGCACAGTAAAATAAGGGCCAGTTTCTGTTATGATTTCACTTGTCTCCCTCTTTTTTTTTTTACTAAGACGTTTTCCATCAATCATCACATCGATGTCTGAGTCTTAACAGGTTTATGTTCCTTTTTCTACGACACTTTATCAGGGTGACAACACAAATAAGAAAAAAACATCACGACCGCAAATCTGTTTGCTGTCAAAGTTTCACGTCTCTGACTTCGATAAAAATAAGCAAACAAAACATCAAAACAATATATTAGTTTTCAAATAAATAGATGTCAAATTTGAAATAAATAACCTTTTTTATACTACGGCTAAAATAAATAAATACATTCTCACATCATGACATCATTAAACAGTGAATCAAAAACTGGACAGTCCTAGAAAGAAAATAGTTATTAAATGTGAAAAATAAAATAATAACTTCATAAACAAAAAGTCCACGTTTTTTCCAAGTAAAAACAAACAAGCTGAAGGACAGCGTGTCTGATGCTGGTATCTGGAAAGGCTCAAAGCTGATCTTATTCTGGTGCTTATGGGTGAAATTACATTTGGTCTGTGTGCTTAATAGACATGAAAGCAAACAATGCAGGTGAGATTCAGCACATTTTAAATGTCAGGACTGCTGCTCCTTTTGTTTTGAAAGATTCACACAACTTTAAACAAGAAAAAAAAGGTTTTTTTTTTCTTTGACATTTCTGCTCACGACAAAGCTGAAGTTTAAATACTGGGGAAAAAAGTCATTTTCAGTAAAAGAGGTAACAATCCAAACACAGTAAATCTTATTTTGATTTACATTCACAGCCACCTTTAAAGAAAAAATTATTCTGCTATTCTACTGAGGAGTGGAATTATTTTTGTCATGTTGCTTTATGTCAGTGGTCTTTGTGTTTTATTCATCTGTGTGATGCAGTTTGGGCTGATTTTGGTCAAACAGGAACTTAGGCTGAGGCTTGTTTTGACYCGTTTCTCCCGTTGGCGTCTGTTGCAGAACCAGACTCGGACCACCTCCTTCTCCAGATGGAGGCCTTTAGCGATCCGGGTTATTTCCTGAGAGGATGGCTTACTTTTCTCAACAAAGCTTCTCTCCAGGGCCTCCTTAGCTCCCAGGCTGCAGAGTCAAAGAAGGAATGATGTAAAAATTAACATTTTTTTTAAGACTAAAACTCACTGTACATTAATTTTTTACAGATTTAACTCTCACCTTATAGTCGTTCTTCTTTTCCTCTTCCTCTCATTTATTCCTGCTTTATCATTATACAAAGCTACAGGAAAGTCAAATAATATTTTGTATTCATAAGTATTTTGTCAGGAAATACTGTCAACAGGAAAATATAGATTTTTTTTCTAATGTTAAGACTAAAACTCACTGTACATTAATTTTTTACAG